AATCTGTCAAGAAGCCGGAATGCATGCAGTTCGGAAGAACCGATATGTCATACTCCCCAAGGACTTTGAAAAGGGTTACAGAACGAACGTGAAGAAGCCTGATTCTGACTTTGAGTTTTACAAATGAGTGGATTTTGCAGCACTATGTTGGGAAAAAAATCTATATAAATCTGTGCTTCATAAATCTTATGTAAACTGTAGGTGGGTCAATAATATAATCTGTTGATTCGTGATTTGGTTTTAAAATATTTGGTGTAAATGAGAATTCTAAAGCTTGAAAATGAAAGGCCACACAACACATAACTAAGAAGAAAAGCTCAATGTACATCAGCTATTTTGATCTTGAAAATTCCATAACAGCCATTAGTTTTGCATCAACGTCTCCATTACCCTCATCCTATGGCAACGCTTTTCTCTGAATTCAAAATTCTTTCAGCATGGTGCAGGCTGTTCCGTGCGTTCATGCAACAATTCCACATATAAATATTTTTTAAAACATAATGTTAATTTGAAGTGTAAGTAATTAAAATTTTGTAATATTGATTTATAAATTATTCAAGAATATTAGATTTAACAATGTAAAAATAGTTCAAAATTTATAAACTATAACATTTACATAAAAACTTAATTTAATTAATAAAATTTTAATTTACCTTGAATTGCTCAAAAGGAAATTTCAAAATTAAAAATTATACTAAAAATTGATTTCCAATAATAATTTAAATTTATAAACATAGTTGTTTCTTAATCGTAATTTAAAAATAATATATAAATATATTTAAGTATAACATATGAGAAATATAACAAATGTTAGTTTATGTAAAATGTAAAATCGAAGTTAACATGAATTTAATTATCAGTCAAATAAACTACAACCGGAGTCACATTATTACTTAATGTATTTTTTAATATAAAAGCTTTTGAGTTATGCAATAAATTAAATCTTATTATACTCATTTTAAGATGAATTCTTTAAAGTTTTAACTGTTACGGTGGATGCATATGCATTGAATATATAAGGCTACACAAGTATTTGTATATGAAAAATATAAATAAACAAAGAGCAACAAATAATAAATATTTTTTCACACAGCATAGAGTAGATTATAAACGTCAATTTAAAAATAAACTTAAACTTGGTATACATAGAATGTCTTTTGATTGACCTGTAAAATATTTTACACAGAAACGATATTATCTCCCTCCCAAATAGTTAAAATTACTGGAAAATATATTTTGAAAAATAATTTACTTGAAAACAAATAGACCATAGACTCCAAAATGTTTTGAGTTACACAAAAGGAGGAGTGCGAAGCCTCCAAGTCTAACCAACCAAAGCGGTTTAAGCAAGACCCTTGTGAGGGATTGACTACAAGTACTTGTACAATAATGAAGGTGGTTGTGCAACTAAATTGTTGCAGAGAAAAATATCTCCCATTTGTTTACAGAGTGAAGAAGGAAAATTCAAAGTGAAAGCTACTAAAAACTCTCACTCACCACCTCTTCACAATGCAGCACCTTCTGTTGGTTCTCAAATGGCTTTGTTCATGTTTCAAACCCTCCCCATGGCACCACCTTTCGTCACCCCAACCACCATAACTCCAATCGCCACACATTGCTGGCTCAACAAGAATCAATCATAATATTTTTCCTTTTGGGTAAGAACAAATTTTCTCTTGATATCAATTCTGACTCCTGTGTCAATCCAAACGTACCAGTTATCCCCTCTGACTACAAGTCCTCAAGCCTCATGATTGATACTGTCCATTCTCCTTAACCTAATGTCAACTTAAAATGAAAGAAAGAATGGAAACATTCGCTCTTCTCCTCCTTGCCTTGCTCTGAGTTTACTCATGAGCGCAACTGTGGGAGAATTGCAAGCAAGAATAATCAGAACAAGGCAAACACAAAGATCACACCATTAATGTTTCTAACATGGATTTCTCAATTTAACAGAGCAATAGTACAAGTATTATCATTCTACTGACCCTATTTCCTAGTCTGAATCAGTATCTGGATCAGCATCAACAATATCGGGAAATGAGTCCATAGATGAGTCACTATCCAAATGAGCCACAGATGCATTAACCTTCTCGACATTTGATATGGTCGAGGATGTGTTTCCATAAACATAATCAAAACCATCAACTTTATCGGCCGATACATTAGACACAATATCATGATCTGTATGGTTTAATCCATCACTGGTAGAAACAGCCGCCTTAAATTCTATTTCAGTGCCCTCAGGATTTCTAGCGACCACAGGACTCGTGACACCTTTGGCAGAAACAATTTCTTGAGTCTGTTGAATTGATTCTTGAGAGTGCCAGGGTTGCACCATTATTTCATCCTCGCCTCTCATATGCACATCTGCATCAGGTGCTGCTAGTTCTTGTTCACTTACCTCTAAAATATTGGTAAATGATGAATCATTTGCACAAGGTTTCTCTGCAAGGTTGAATCTTGATCTTTTAGCATCCATATTCTCCACAGGGATGTTTTCATATTCATTTTCATTTTCATTTTCATTTTGTAGCCACCTGTCATATAGATCATCATCATCTGACTTGAGAGCACTTTGTTCTGTTCCCTGCATGGATTTGGAAAACATGGTATCACCCTTCTGACCATAGAAGGGCATATTTTCTGGGAATCTGTGGCTAGCTCCATCAGTAAAGGTCTGATAAGAAGAGCGGAAATCATCCAATGGAAGGGCCCTAGGATGTATAAGCACCTCCAGTGCTAACAGCGCAGAGGCGCAAAATCCTGCAAGCTTTGTTCCAGCTTCTTGCTTACCTGGAAGAGTCATACAGTTAACAGTAAGTGAACATTTTTCATACGGCAACAGAAACTGTTTGTGCAAACAGTATGATGGAAGGGCTTGTACGATATTTTTAATTTATTATTTATTAGCCTTTGAGGCCTAACTGGGATTCGTGCCCATGCTACAAAGCTTGACCTGAATTCGAAGCTGAATAAAAGCTCTACGAAGGAGCCAAGTTTGTACACGTTTACTTGAGCTCAAAATGAGTTGGTGTATGTTTGAGCTCATTAAAACTTAGTGGCACTAGGCATCAAGAAGAAAACCTAGTTAAAACACCTCGCACCAATGAAACCTAGTCATTTGAATCATCTTATGATAACAACACTTGCACCCTTAACTTCCACCACTTGCATACGGCTATCTTCATAGAACTGTTAAAACTGATCCGAACCTGAATAACCCGTCAGCCATCCGAACCAGAACTCAACTTCACTGATTTAATAAAAAATATCAACTTGAATACACTCAACCCGAACCTGAAGTTGAACAATATGAAAAACTAATGCGAAACGACTCAAACTTAAATTGATATAATTTAATTTTCTAACAACATTAATTAGTTAAAAATAATAAATATAACACAACCTATTATTCTAGTAATTTTTAATAAGTTTAAAATTATCTTTTTAAATCTTTTTATTTATTCTTGCATTTTTATATAACTTTAGATATTATCCTTCTTAATTTATGAGTCTAAAAGAGATAAAAGATAAGTTCTTTGCGTTATTGTGATTAAATTCAATTTCTACATTTATATATCATAAATAATTTTTCTCCTTTTTTTCACTATTAAGAAATAATAAAATAAATAACTAGAATAGATGATAAAAATAATTGACAATAATTCAGTAAAGTTAATTGTGACACCTACTTTTAAACATTTCACTTTACTTCATCTTAAGTGATAATTAGATAGTTAACAAAGATAATGACTGAAAAAGCAAATGGAAGAGTATTAGACTAGAGAAGCTTCTTCATTATAAGTTGACTAAAATGTGACTGCGAATAACTTAATAATGATTGATAAAATCTAGCTCGATTTGAATAATGTGTTCAAATTCAATTTGATTTGACTTCAATAATCAACTACTTGAATCCAAAATGACCCAAACTCGAATAACTCAAGTGTCAAGCCAAACCCAAACCCAAGATGACCCAAATCCAAAACAACTGGAACCCAAAATGACATAAACCTGAAAAGACAAACTTGAAAATGACTTGAATGTTCTTTGACCCAAAATGAACCGACCTAACCAACCCAATTGCCAAACTCTATATCTTCACTATTCACTAAAGGAGCCATTCAATTGGTACCAAATATTCCATCTGCAAATAGCATTGTTAAACTTGTTATCATCTCAATGAACGTTAGTGTGTTCTTATTATTGGTTCACTCAATGAAGAAAAATATGAAACAATGTTACTATGAAGAAACTAGTTACCTTTACGGAAAAGCTCAAGACCTTGCGATAAAAATGGTGGGCGGATACGAGCTGGGGCAAGGAATGATGCCAAGAGTGCACGTAATGTTGAGAGCTGGAAATCTACCCATATCGAGGTTGATTCATGAGGCAGAAAAATGTTGTTTTCCTCATTCCCCCACCCCCCTTTACAAGAATTTGTTGCTGTCTTTATCAAAAGACTATCAATCCTTGAGCACCAACTCTCGGATTTTGAAGCACCACCCTATGAAAAATCAACATATATTCATCACACACACACACACACACACAAACACACACATATAGTATAAGACTAACAAAAGATAATAATCCCCAAGCTGCAAAACCACCCACCACCCCCCGCCCGCCCCAACAGGTCCCCCCCTGCTGCCAAAAAACAAGTATAACAAAAGTTCATTTATAGAGGCAATACTACTAGTTGGACAAAAACTACTTGTATACTCATATATATAACACAAAGAATTGTCTATGAACATTAGTTTCTATAATTCTTAAAGATAGACAATATGTACAAAGAAAATAAATTTTAGATTTATCATATACTTCTAACTAAAGAAGTTAACTTCAGTTCGTATATATCACATAACTGCAGAAAATAAAAAATAAAAACAAGACCTTTCTATGATAGACATTATAAAAAATAAACAACATATAAATTTATGTATTTTCTTCTTATTATATAAAAACACTAAAGATGGTTTTGTGATTCTTTTTTTTTAATATTCCATTAATCCAAACTTTTATACATCATTTGAAAACTCTAAAAAACAGTTCACTTCTTTTTCTGCACATTTAGCGTATTGAGAACTTATCCTATAAAACTTTAAAAAGAAAAAAATTAGTGCATGCTAGCAAAGTTTTCAAATGTATGAGAATTGCTTGATTCTCACTCATGATTCAAAGCAGATAACAGAACATGTTCTGCAAATACAGATGTAGTTCACATACCACTGTGAGAAGAACTTCCAAAGTGTCAAGTGCAGCAATTTTTACAGTAATTGGAGTCGTTTGATGTGTATTCGGTGCCTCCACTTCTGAACTAATTGTTTGTTTCTCTTCAACAGATCCAGTTTTAGTACCATGCTTTCTTTTCCTATTGCTAGGCTGTGGTGAAGCTCCAGTAGAGGGTCCTATGTTTGTAGGGGATGTTTCAGCATCTTCATCACCAAAAGAATTCAGATCATTGAATGCATTGTCAATGACATCCGGTGCAAGATATATTGCCATCCCTGGTTTAAAAGGAACAAAAAGGCTGCATATTAGTAATTCGGACCAAAGCTCATTTCCATTAGAATAGATGGCAACTATGGTAGAGAAATCATGAATTTTAATCCACCACAAACTCTTACAGTCCTAAATGACTTATGGAAAACAGATCAATCTACCTCATGTACCATTAGAATTCTAATGCACTTCCAACACAGCACGTGTTTTAGCAGATCTAAAGAGTTATATAGAACAAAGAAAAAAAGGCCATCACCAACCTTCCAACATACCTCATTTAGTCAGAAAATTTTAGAACATTATGAACACTTCCCCTTCAAGATTTCAGAAGGAATATTGAAAACTTACATTCAATCACATTATTAACACATATCAACATGTGATCTCATATGCTGAAAAAGTTCCTCCCAGAGGTTTTTCTTTGTTTCCTTTTCTCAGAATATAGCCACAACCTTGTTAACCACATTCCACTCCTAGTGCACTACATTCTAAAGCAACACCAGTAAATATACAGAACCCAACAAAGATCTAAATTAATATAAAAATATGAAAAGTGATTGCTAAGGAGAACCAGCCAAGAAAAAATGCATCCACAACAGCAAATACAAATATCCAATTAGTTAGGGGATAACAGGACAATATTGGCATAAGAATCTTTGCATGCCAAAAATAAGAAAGTGCTTGCTGTAGTTGCAAGCCATAACTATATTAACAGATACGTGGGCCCACTATGTGGCCATCAATGGCCTCAACACAACTATTGTGAAATACTCTACTATACAGTGATATATATTAGTGCTGCAAATTTGAGAAACTTATTTATCCAAGATAAAAATTTATCTCTGCAGGTTTTCAAAATAATTAAAGTATTAAAACAGCATACAACAGTACAGGCTCTCCTTTCTTTCTACTTTACTCATTGACCAGCCTAGGTCTGCAACATGGCTGCACACTATGCCCTGGGTAGTTCTACTTTGGAGAGGACAAGGGTTTCAGATGTCCAGTCATATCTGTTTCTTCACATTTTTTATGTGCTGCTCTATTAGGGAAAGGCTTAAATTTCAAATAACATTTAAAACTCCTGCAACTTGATGCTGATGGAGGATGAAAATATGCTACTTAAGGGATTACATTATCTAGGACTTCTATTTTATAATTTATGGATTTTATTGTAATCTTTAACTTTAATTAGGCTATTTTAGATTATTTAGGTTATTTCATATTAATTAGTATTTACCTTCTTTTCCAAGTATTAGGATTTAGGGTCACATTTGGTGTTTTGCATTTTATTAAGGTTTTGGGTTTAACTATAATATAAGTACCTATGCTATTTTGAATTCAGGTTTCTGGATGATGAATATGTGAAGTTTTTGAGATATTGAGTATCATGATTTTCTCCCTCTTGATTCTTTCTGGTTTTTTCTCTCCCTAGTTCTTCGATTTCTCTGCCAATTTCCTTCAGTTTATTTCTGATTTTCCCTCTAAATGTCTATTATTTATCTCCTCCCTACTTGTTCTACATCAGATACCTAATAGTTAAATCAATGGCCACATAAAGTTTCAATCCTTCAGGCAGTTTGTAACTGGTTTTCATTCTAAGGTTGCACATTTAGTAATCAGATATGTATATTGACACTAGTACATGACGGTCTGCTACCTCTCGCTTTTTCTTTTCATCCCTTACTGAGTTTTCAGTTTGAAGTATTCTCAATCCGGAGAGAATTTCTAATATGAGCAGAGTAAAAACTCCCTGCAGAAATTTAAAATTCGGAAGGAGGGGCTAGAGTTTGAGGCAATTACGAATCAAGAGAATGACAACAGCATGCTACTTTAGCTTCAGCTTATACATCAAAATAATGACTGGAAATACATGCATGCCTGAAGATAGGAACTAGCCATTAATCAGACCCAAGAAAGAAACAAGGGAAGAAAACAGTAATGGCAGCTATTTGATATCATAGGGGTGAAAAATTATAAGGATATTCAAAGAGAATACTGCTTACCAACACCCATTGATATAAGCAACATCCTAGTGATTGAATAGAGCTTTATCCGCAATTCTGGCAGTGCACATCTCCTGAAATACCTTGTAACAAGTCTCACAACGTATGCAGCATGCGGTAATAGTTGCCTGCAAATAAAATCAAGGTATCAATAAAGCATATGTGTGAACTCTTCAAATTGACCAACAAATCATACAGGCATGAAATCTATAAGGACAATAGATATCTCTAGAAATAGAGAAAGAAAACAAAGAGAAACATAGAAATTAGATTACAAGTAGCAGCTGAGAAAAACAGGTGTAAAAGGTTTTCCCAGAATGTTTACAAAAATCAAATTTGGGCAAGGGGCAAATTGATGATTTCTTAAGGATGCTACCATATATTCTGCTAATATTTAAGGTAAGAACGAGCAGTGGGTTTTGGAGTAGAGCAAATGGTTAACAAGGTTAAAAGCACATTTAAAGAAGGTAATGCCTCTTCTTCTCATATTCCACTAAGGTGCATTGCTCAACATCTCTTTTGGAATTTAGAGATAAACTTGGCCAATAAAACCAGATGTGGCCTCCTCCTATTGCAATTAATATAAGAAAATTTCCAAGTCACCAAAATGAAAAATGACAAATAGATCCCTTATTCCAAAGGCCCTATCACCAAAAACTAACCATGATCACATTCACTGAACCTCGGAGGTTCAATCTTCCAATCCTCATAAATAGAACAGGTAGAGACGAGTTACTTAAAAACTAGTTTTTAGGGAAACGTTCCATTTCCAAATGTCCAAGAAGTAAAATTTTCTTAAATTAGGGGCACAAGAAATAAATTAAAAGGTAAATCCTATTAATCAGAAAGGTAACCTTGCTGTACCCTGCTTTTTCCACACACAAATGATGTGCCGATCTTATTTAGTATTAGTTTTCCATGCCTATTCAATTACTGATATCATTATAAATGAGAACACCAAGCCTCGCCTCACTGATCTCTCATAAAACCAAATTCAATGAGCTTCCATATTGATCTGTCATTTGTAGACCACCACAACTACAGCTTCTGGAATTAAATTTTGAAGGACATTCAACAACAATTAGTCTATTGCCCATGTGAAAGCCAGACAGGATATAGTAAAAAGAGATTAACAAAAACCTTTTCAGGCAGATGAATACATTATTTACTCAAACCAGGCCTTTCTGACTTTGATCAGACAAAACATGTTAAGAGATAACCAAGGGGAAAAGTCTGACCAAGAATTCTGAGCAGAAAGAAAGCATAAAAGAGAATTATATGAGAAAGAAATCACAAAATGAGCACCCTGCCATTCAAAAAGAATTTTACAGAAATTCAACTAGTTATTGAAATATTAGGAGGAAGTAGCAATTGACAGTACATATTGAGGCTCCAGTTGATTGATGCTTTTGCTATTTGCTTTTTTTTTTTCTATGCATTCTTTTTTCCTTTTGCTTTCTATTCATTTTTTGCCAAAAAGCCAAAAGCAAATAGCAAAAACATCAATCAAATGAAGCCTAAAAAGCAAAAAGGTTAAAAATAAAAAATAAAGTCACAACATATTGAAGTATAGTAGATCAAAGACTCCAAACCCAAAAAACAAAGCTCATATATACTACTCTCTATCCCAATAAGCTTCTCACATTTTACTTTTATTGGTCTAAATTTTTTAACTTTGACCTCATTTTATTAAAATTGATCATTGATAAAAATATGAATAAATATTTTCTAAAAAACTTAAAAGAAGTAGCTTTTAGATTACATATATATAAATGTATATTGTAAAATTTAATAAATTAAAATATTTAAAATAATAGAGGTCAAAGTTACAAAATTTAGACCAAAATAAAGTCAAAATGTGACAAATAAATGGGACAGAGGGAGTACTATTATTCTAAAGAAAACACTGTAGTAAAAGAAACTTGTTCTTTCTAACCTGCGCATCCCCTTTATAATTGCAATGAGAAGTTCCAAAGCGTAAGCATGAAAGACTGGAAGTTCAGAACAAATTAACTCATGTTGCATGGCAGTCATAAAGGGCAACATGGTGTGTGGCAAAGAACCATCAACCATCAGCAGCCTCTCAACAAGAGCTAACATGGCACGAATTGGAGCAGTCACCTATTAATCAAAATATACAATGTTGCTGAAAAACATGACTAATGCATCTATAATTTTTTCTTTTAATAAAAATGAAGTCAGAAAAATCTTTCAAGGCCATAATTTAAATAAGCTTCATTTTCATGGATCTGAATTTCAACAATACCTGAATGGGATATGAACTTGTAAGCATTTTACAACAGCAAAATATCAGAGTAGAGACAGTTGATGCAGGCAATCTCTCAGAACTCCTTGTTGCCTCATGAGAGGCACCTTCTAATGGGGTATGACCTAAAGGAGATGGCAGATCTTTTCCCAGAGGAACCAATAATCTCCTAGCTTCATCAGATTTAGCTTCTGCAAGTTATTAAAAGCACATCCATCTATTTATTACCCTTAAGGCCAACCAGCGGCTTATCCATGAAGGTGTTAAATTTTACCTTCTTCTACACCTTGGAAAGCATCATTCAGGAGGTCGTTTATTGATAACAAAATTTTCTGCATCATTAGGGACCAGCTATCCTCATCTCCTTTCGATTTTGGAAGTAATGCTAAGCAATAACCAAGTTTCTGAAGTTTGAACCAGTCAGAAAAGAAAAAAAATGTAACAGCAGAAAGCATATACTTGCTACCTTTTGTTTCTTTTTCTACTTGCCAACAGTGAATAGAACAGGAGAAAAGAAACACGCTACCTTTGATGTTTTAGTACTGTATTTCCCTGAAAGAATTTTTGAAGCAATAACAGCTTCAGCCTGCAAAAGTTATTTTACACCAGTGCATTGTAACTTTATTAGCAGAAGACACCTAAAGATTGTATTAAGGCACAATTCAGTTAAAAGAAATCTTTCTATTCTTCTCTTACATCAGTTTGCAAGTACGCTTAAAGCAACTGAGGTTTGATTTTGCCATGTCAATTTGAACCTATGGGACTCATATGATGGCATCATTCATAGTATCATATATTGCCCTCACACATCATTTAAAATATAACAAGCAAACATATTTTTATTTTTGAAATTTTTACAATTTTCTGATACATGCTTCTAGGTTAAGGTGTTATCATAGCCCGATATAAGGACCAAACGAGTAGCAATAAATACACCATAACTTCTGTGATGCAATGAAAGAATTGTTGTCAAATCATGGATCCACATTGGCAATAATCAAATGATGTTGATTTCTTCAGATACATTATCTCATTAATGAACTGCCATGAATAGTCAACTGTGAACCTATGACAAGTTATAATCAATTTTATAAGAAACATACCTAGAGCCTAAACATTAATTCTTCTATCTACATGTTTGTATGTATGGCTTTGATTATATTACAATTTAAAAGGCCCATCATTTTAAATCTGACCCAACAAAACTAGAAATAACATAAATTCTTTTTGTAATTGAAAGAAAACCCAAAGTTAACATAAAAGCTGACAATAACATGGAGACCCAACCAATATCTGCCTCTTCTTAACACTCTAACTGAACAGTCAGCCAAAGTCCACTCAGTCACAGCAATCATCTAAACTACCGAACTACCTCTCCCTCTTTGGTTAGAAACTCTTTTAACTCCTAATTACTGAAGGTATAATTTCACTACCACCTAACATTAACTGCCACCCTCCATCCATTTTACTCAATGGATATCCTCCAAAGCTGCCAGAAACCTCTCAATGCCAGAACAACCTTTCAACAAGCTGTCACATCCAGTGTCCTCAACGTGTCACCACAATGTCATCTCATGACTAAATTACTTTTTACTTTTTTCTGTATCCTCTATATCTGATAAAGCATGTCTTATGTCCAACACAGATACAACATGGATATGGAGGGGGTTGTGACATATTCATGCTTCATAGGCTTGTATATTACAACTACACCAATTAAGAGTAGGAAGTCTCATAATGAAAATAAAACTTACCCTGTCATAATGATGATGGATGGCAGCTGGAAAGAAAGTTATAATGGTATACAATAGACTAGCTGCTCCTTCCTGCACATGACAAAACAAGGATGGTAAATTAAACTTGAAAGACTATGAAGAAGAGGAAATAAAAGAAAAGGCCGTACTTAGCATATACCTATGATCCCTCCCAAGTTCAAAAATGAGTTTTCAGCTGAAGTTGCCTCTATATGCATGCAAATACACATGCAGGCAAGAGAAAGAAATAATGCATTTTAATATTCTCGAATATGAGCTACTATCTCCCTAATGGGAAAACTGTTCATTTACAAGAAGAATCAAGTAATATTTAACTGAAGTTTATTAACACATAATAATACAACATGTTCTAAATGACATGTTCTTAAGCAAAAATTATTTTTTAATAAGCAATAAAACATAATCACAAGTACAAAGTTTTTGAGGAGTTTCAGAAAAAAAAAAAAAA